AAGGTCAAACATGAACAAGTCTGTCTCAACAAGCATCAATGCATCATGTGATAAATTATTTATGAAGCTGATAATCCAATCCTACTCAATTTTATTAAATTATTATGAACCAAAAAGTCATACAAAGTCTGCTCATGTCACCCTTTGCTTGTAAGAATTTTCTATGAGCACATGGAATCTTATAATTACGTAGATGAGGCGGTCCACGGCGGTGGGAGTGGTGCCAAGGAGCTGTAGTGTTGGGATGGGGAGGATTGATGAAGAGAAGCCTTGTGAGTTTGGGGATAACAATTACAATGGTGTTAATGTTAGGAAGGAGTTGTTGGTGTATCCTAGAAGCAGAAGTTATGCTGTCACAAAAGTGCTGTTGCCTTTTGATCCTTTTCTTCTCTCTGCCATTTTTCCTTTTGCCCTTTTCTCAATTTAATTTTTTTTGTTTAAAAAAAAAACTCAGAATTTTAACATTTCAAATTCTGAGTATTTTTTTAAATATATATATATATATATATATTTTGGGGGAATGTAGGATATAAATATGGGGGGATTGAATAAATCTCCTTTTCTTTACCTGATTGTTTGTTTGTTTTATATGTCTATGAAAGCTGGTTGTTGTTAATACAAGTGAAGTGGGGTCCTAGCTCCACCATATCTGTTGTATTCTTGCTTAGGATTTCAATGTTGGTTTTCTGAATTCAATACATGTACCTAGGTTGCTTATATTTCAATTTTGCAACTGTAGGGATCTCATTGAAGCTAGGGATTCTGAATACAAGGCATGGGCTCATGTTCAGACCTTGAAGTCCTCTCTTGATGAGCAAACTCTGGAATTGCAGGTTAAAATATCAATTGGAGCTGAGGCCATCTCTCATGTTCAGTTATTTTATGGTACAGTTTGATATGTCAATTGTTTCATCTATATTACCCTTTTGGTACTAACTTAAGTTCATATGGATGTTGAGCATTGGCATTGTTTAGTTCATTTTATATGGGTGCTACACATGATTGCAATCCTTTATTTTTATTTTGGTTCTGTTTTGTTCTCTCCAGCATGATATATATATATATATATATAAGAAACCTGAAGACATTTTTTTATTTATGCTATTTCAGGGAAAAGTCCGGGCTTCCAGATATCCTGAAATCCAAACATGAGGAAAATGAAGCCTACATATCTGAATTAGAGGTTAGGTTCTTGCTCTGATAATTATAACATCAAGGTTATTATTTGTACCACCATTGTTCACTGTTTATTTAAGTTCCCAAATTGGTTTTACTTGCTTTCATATAGCATGCATTTGAGACCTCCTTGATTTTGTAGGTGATTATTTGTTTGTTTATATAGAAGTTAGAGATTTTATAGAAGTTTGATTAAATCGACTATTTGTTTAGTGTTGGTAACTTAATTCTCATTTGTTCCCCTCTTATGTGTCTATATACACACATATATGTATGAATTTTAACATTTTTGAGTTCTATGCTGATGTGTAATAATAATGCAATCTTTGAAGTGCTGATGCTTATGATGGGTTCTCACTGGAGGACTTTGTTAAAATATGTTTACTGTATGTGTTCCATTTTCAAAGATCAAAGATAATGGGTACAGAGTTCTACTCGGCAGCTATAAATGTAGAGTAGTTGCACTCCAATTCAACTCCCACATACTTATCACTCAATATCAAAGCAGTTAAGTCTTTCCTATGGGCTAGGCCTAGGATGAGATTTGGGTGAAAACAATTAATAGACTTTCAATGAGCAAAATGTATACGATGGGAACCTTTTTTATGTACAGAAATTAATGTGATATGTCATGCCATAATACATGCTTCATCTATGTATATGATGGGGTATGTAATGCCATATAGCATCAACCTAATGTCGTAAAAAATTATATACGGCATACAAAGTATGTCATTAATGTTTAATTTATTACTTTTTACAACTTTACCTGCACGTCGTAAATGACGCTCACCTTTGTCGATACAACCCGTCCCTCCGATTGAGCTATTAGGGTTTTGCCCCAAAACGAAAACCCAACAACGCCGACAGAGGTAAACCTCTCTCTCTCTCTCTCTCTCACACACACACACACACACAAACACACACACACACACACATTTCAATCCAACATATATGTATATGCACATAAGTAATTGAGGCTTAGTCATGAACATTTGTATTAATGTAGAGCCTAGAAAGCTTGAGAAAATTGCATAATAGTAGATGAAGATTCAATTTTTTTTCATTTTTCTGTTTGTTGATTAACTTTGTACTCTCTTTTTTCCCCAGAATTATTATTGCTTTTAGTGATGGAGCACGGGTCGTTCCAGGACCAAACAGCATCCACATTTTCTTTGGCAGATGAGGATCATACACTAGCAAATTCAGTCAGATTCACTCTCAATCAAGAGTCAGTCAGTTCTCTTCTAATTCTTTCATGTTATAAATTGCGCATGTTGTTTCTAAAATCATTTGTGCACGCCATGCTAGCTCTGATTTTTGTGATTGCCCTAGTTTATATGCTCTGTTTCAAAAACAGTTTTTTGTATTTGAACTACTGTATTTGATCTTCATGTTCTAATCAGATGCTTTTCAAGCTCAGTTTCGTTGTGTGCCTCCTATATGGACAGTTTAAAGGGCCTTTCATAGTTCTTATTTCTTCAGTAACAATTTCATTTTTTTTTGTTCCTACTTAGTTTTTGGGTATTTCTGTAACCATGTAGATTTATTTGTGTTTAATTTCTTCATTTAATTGGGTTGTTGATGAAAATTATTTTGTAGTGTAAAATATTTGTTTTTATATCTTCCTCTACCAACATTAAGGCCTTGCTTGTCATGTACTAAAAAAGTCAAAAAGTTAAAAGTCATTATCCTATTTTAGTCACATCATCTTATTTAAGTCACATTACCTCTCTACCACATCACTTCAAACCCAACCCAAACCCAACCCATATTTCATAAAAAGTCAAAAAGTACACTTATTTAAAACATCCCAAACCACCCCTAAGAGTTGTAGTATGTTGAATAGCATTTTTCCCTTGGCATGACTCCTCTTAAAATCCAATCCCAAACTTCTCTATTGCTAAAACCAACACACAAAAAAATTTTTTGGTTCTCTGTGGTGTTTTGGTTCTCTGTTAGTAATAAAAACAAGCACTTTTTCAATTGTGTGTTTTATTGGGGGGAAAAACAAGTTCAAGATGTGGCAGGATTTGAACTATGCGGGACCTTGAAAAATGTTGTGGCATTGGCAGCAGGTTTTGGCAGTCCACTGTTTGTTTCGCTTTCAAGTATTCTTTACTATGTTTTATGAGTTAATGAAACAATTTGATGTAAAATTGAACAGGTTCTGTGGATGGTTTGGAGATGGGAAATAACACAAAGGTAAGGCAAAAAAAAGAAAAAAGAAAATCATAGGCTCTTTAAATTCATTGTTCCAAGTCCACACGCATTACCTTCAAAAAATTTTGCATTTTGACTGTTTATATGATTACTAGGCTGCAATAATGAGAATTGGTTTGAGAGAAATGAAGGCCTTTTCCAAGTTGTTGTTCTCATCTGTCAAGGATAGCACCTTTTTCGAAAGCTGTGGTGTGGCTGACCTTATAACAACTTGCTGTAAGTAGCCAGATAGATTTCTTTGCTTTCCTAGTTCTACAAATTTTGCCTTCATAACATCGGTTGCTCATGATAGAAACATACAACCTTATTATGTTGTTTCGATATGGCACTAGGGGGAAGAAACAGGAAATGTGCGGAGGTCTTTTGATGAGCTTGAAGAAGATATGTTGCAGGGCCAGAAATTACAAGTAAATACAAAAATAGTTATAGTGAAGAGTAGCATTGCTATTAGTTAAAGAATAAATAAATAATAGCAGACTGCTAGGGTTAATGTCATGTGCTTGAATTCTTATCAAAGTAAATGTGTACAAAGAGGTCTTTTGATTTTTATTTTGGTGGTAGGGCCTGGTTGTTCTTCATTGGGGTTGGGGCATTCTCTGAAAATGGACCATTTAGGCCTAGTGGGAAGGCACTGGTCAGGAATGAATATAGCTGGAACAGAGGTACTATACTATACTATACTTTATATATATCCTTACAAGTTATATAGATGATTTGGCTGCTAAGAATTGATTTCATGTTATTGTGTGCTTATTGATCCACAAAAACAAATATGTTGTATTTGGAGATTGTGCTTATTAAACCTTATGCTAATTGCTCTATGAGAGCCATTGTAGAGTGCACTTTATTTTTGAATGTAGATTGCGATCTAGTTATCAAAACACATCAACCATATATATATATATAGATTATATAAAGTGAAGAAGTAACTGAAAAATTAAATATTGAGGTGGTGAAAGGGACTTGAACCTAAGACCATTAGTTTGGTAAACAATACTTTTATTACTTGAGCAATACCAATGTAAATAACACTTTTAAGCAATAGACACGCTACATGTTTTTAATCCAAAATCAAAATTTATATTTTATAAATTTAAAAGTACATCTATCAAGTGAGCACACACCCACTAACATATATATATATATATATATTTGTGCACGCGTGTGTGGAGTGGAATAATAGGACACTTCACTTGGTGACTTAAATTAACAACAATTTTCGGAGCTTAATATCATAGAAAATTCTTTGTTATTGAAAAGATTAAAAAATATTATTTCAGTACCCATGACCAATGTGATGAAGCCTAGTAATCATTTTTTTATTTTTTATTTTTATATACTACCAACGGAAAATTATTTAATATTCTTAAAGTATCATCGTCGTATGTGCATGTAATACTTTTGATCAATGAAGTCACATAAAAGAAGAGCACTACATCAGTATATCGAGTCATTACTAGTACTCTTATTAACATTAAGAGCACTACATCAGTATATCGAGTCATTACTTCGGAAGTAATAAATAATTAGTTATATAGAAGACTCTAGCATAGGGAGTGGACTCAAACACTTTACCTCCTACTGATGTGGCCACTTACTAAATGTTGGATTTTTGTTATGCTAAACAGTGTGTTATAGTTTACATAATTCAATGGTTTGTCAAATTAAAAGTGAGGGGCAAAAAAACAGGTGCAAGAGGGAGGGGAAATGATTCTGACTCAAGCTGTGGAAGAGAAAAACAGATCAAGTAAGAGCAACAATGGTGTTGGTGCCACAAAGAAGAACAAAATCAATCAAACCCTAAAACGGTATTTTCGAAACATCGATCTTTTTGTTAGAATATCTTTTGACCAAGAAATTAAAAAAAAAATTACAATAATTCAAAAGATTTAATGGATTTTTCTTTTACATTTTTATTATGTAGTGTGAGAAACCTGTCTAGTATGACAGAACAGATGAGCAAGGCAATGCTTGATAGTGGTGGCGTTTGGTAAAACTTATTTTCAACTTAAAGCAGCTTTTGGCTTAAATTAAGTTAGAACGGTGCGTTTGGTACAGCTTATGAAGATAGATTATGACTTAATTTAAGCCAAATTTCAGCTTAAATTCAAAGTTGCTCCGGAGGTGCTTAAAAATACAGCTTATGCGCGCAGTTGTTTTGGGAGGGGAAAAATGACTTAAATGCCCCTCCAAAACTTAAGGAATAACGAAAATGCCACTATATAAACCATTTCTCACTCATTCTTCCTCTCTCACTCAAGCGAGAGAGGCGATTTCCGGTGAGCATGGGCGATTACCGGCTCTCTCTCTCTCTCCCCCTCTCTACTCTCCCCTTTGCGAACCCGTCTGTCTTCCTCTTCGCGATCACGATCTCCCATCGCGATCTGTACCATCTATCCTCTTTCGCGAACCCGTCGATCTGCCATCGCGATCTGCACCATCGCGAGTTGCCATCGCGAACCCGTCTGTCTCCCTCTCCCCGGCGTGAACCCGTCTGTTTCCATTTGAACCATCGCGATCTGCACCATCGGACCTAGGGTTTTCATTATTATGAAACCCTAGCACTGGTTGATCTGCACCATTTGCCATCACGATCTGAATGAAACCCTAGCGCCGGCTCATCCCGCAGGAGCTAGGGTTTTCATTATTATTTTTTTTTTTGAGGTTTTTCAGTATTTTTTTTAAAAAAAAACAAAATAATTAATGAATAAAAAATAATAATTGATGCTAATTAATTGGGACTAATTAATTTAAAATGAAAAAAATTATATTAATTGATACTATTAATAAGAATATTGATGAATATACGTAATTGATGGAAAAATTAATAATAATGGATAATATTAATATATGTAATTTATGTAATAATTGATGAAAAAAATTAATATTGATGAATATATGTAATTTATATTAATTGATAATATTAATTGATGGAAAAATTGATAAGTTAATATAAATTGATGAATATATGTAAATTGATAAATTAAATAATATGTAATGAAATCACAACATTAATATAAATTAGAACATGAATATTAATTTTAATGAATTAATAAATTAAAAAAAAATAACAAAGAAATAAGAGAAGAAAAAAAATTAAAAAAGAAAAGAAAATAAGGTGAAAAAGAAAAGAAAATAAAATAAAATGAAAATGAAAAAGAAAAAAATGTATTATAAATGAAATCATAAATTTTATATGCTATAAGGACAAAAATGACAATTATACAGCAAAAAGTTATTTTAAAGCTTATTTACCAAACACTACTCTGCGGCTTAAATCCATAATCCCACAGCTGCACCAAACAGGTTACCAGCTTATATTCACAGCTGTAAGTTATAATCTGTTAAGTTATAATCTATAATCACTTTTCCACAGCTCTACCAAACGGGGCCAGTGTTGGCATTGCCACCGGGACTGTGATGGCACCGGTGGTTCAGTCGTAGGTGGGGAAGGCTTTCTTAGCCATGGTTCCAAGACAAGTCCTCTTGGCCTCACTCGATGCTGTCAGTAAGTAATAATTCTATTTTCAATACAGAAATTAATAACATATTAGAAGACACAATATACATGATTTTACAAAATTTGTTAGTAGGACCTACTCTTAAAAAAAAAATCTTGTCTGCAATCCATGTATACATTTTGTATTTGATTTTTTGACTAGTTTATGTATTCTTAGATTTATTCCAGTGAGTAAAGACTACTTTAAAGTTTTGTGATGCAAAGAAAAGAATATGAAGTAATCACATTGATTTATCTTGAAACTACAGACAAAGTGTTAGATGCAGCTGAAGTTGCTGAAAAACAAGCCCTCTCTGCCACCTCTGCTGCCACAACCAGAATGGTTTCTGAAAGGTAAAAGACTTAATAGTGACTAAAACATGGTTTTATATAAATAACAGCAGATATTGGTGTACATTCACATTTTTGGTTACTTCACAAAAATAGGGAATAAAACAGAATTAGCTTTCTAAGTTGTTAGAATGAGAATTTAAAATCACTACAAAATTAGGTAATTGTGTAGTAGTTCCAGAGCACCAACTTAGAATGTAACAATTTTTTGACAAAATTTGTCCCATTGAATCAAATTTTCATAAAATCAATTTGTCTAGTTTATCAGCTCAATTCTTTCCCTCTTTTTTCCCAATACAACTTGTTCTATATGAATTTTTCCAGTACTTTTTCATTTTTTTCTCCTATTTTTCTCTCTAACTCCATTTGAATTTTCATTGCTTGGCTTTCACCATTGTTGAGCAAACAGGTTTGAAGAAAATGCAGGGGAGGCAACAGAAGATGTGCTCGCGACCGCAGGACACTGTGTTGGCACTGCTCGGAATGTCTTAAAGATTCGGAAAGCCATCAATCCAGCTTCATTAGTGTCCTCTGGAGTACTAAAGAGCGCAATCAAAGATAGGAAAACTTAAATCGTGTGTTGTCAATTTATGTATCTAAAACATAACATGCTAAACACTATCTCTGTGATGCATCTAGCAAAAATAATCCTTCTCTAAATTGGATAAAAAATGGTTGATATATGTATTTTCTTGAATGTTCATGATTCAATTTATTTGTTGGTTTGAATAATTTTTGCAAATTATAGATTATATTGAATAAATTGGATGGATTATTATAAATTATAGGTTTATTTTGTTGGATGCTGGCGATCAAATTTTGGTTTTGTTTTTTTAGTTTTGGCGACCAATTGATTAGTCGGGAAAGATAAGTTATACTTTTGCTAACTAAATAAAGTAGTCGATGTATCACCAAGCACATTTGGCGACTAAATAATTCGTCATTAAAATTATTAATTTTGGCAACCAAAGAATTTGGTCGTGAATAGGTCTATTGCCGACTAAAGTTTTAGTTGCGCAAACATTTCTTTTGACGACAAACATGTTTGGTCGTGGAATGTGACAATTGGCGACCAAATAATTTGGTTGTGGAATGTGACAATTGGCGACCAAATAATTTGGTTGTGGAATGTGACAATTGGCGACCAAACTAAGACGTCGTAGAATGTCACAATTGGCGACTAAAATTTTTGGTCGTAGAATGTCGCAATTGGCGACCAAAATTTTTTGGTCGTGGAATGTCACAATTGGCGACCAAACTTTTTGGTCGTTGAATGTGATAATTTGCGACCAAACTTTTTGGTCATGGAATGTGACAATTGACGACTAAGATATTTGGTCGGGAAAATATAACTTTTCGTGACCAAAGTGTTTTAGTGACAAAATTGATTAGTCGCAGTAAAGACATATTTGGCGATCAAAAATTTAGTCGGCAAATCTAACTTTTCCCGACCAACTAAAATTTTGGTCGCGAATTACTTTTGCCGACCCTCAATTGGTGACCAAAGTAGCGACCAAAAAAATTGGTCGCGAATAACTTTTGCCGACTAAAAATGGGCTTTTAGCGACCAATTTTTTGGTCGACAAATGTGTTATTTCTTGTAATGATAGAAATTTCTGGTTTTTGCTATTTATAATCTTGTTTCTATAAAATTTTTAGTTACCAAAAAGAAAAAGAATTCTGATGTTGTCTATGTAGTTATTTGACATTCATTGGTTGGCTTTGCCATATCTTTATGCAATGAACCTCTCTGCCTTCAAGATTATGAATTGTGTATTAGTTTTAGAACCCCATGAAGTATTTTTTTTTTTTTCCTTCTTCTTTTCTTGGTCTGCCTTGTATCAAAATATAAACATAACAAATAATTTTGGAAATTCACAATTATTTTAATAAAAAAAATTTGATCAAATTTTTTAAAAAATTGTAACAAGACAAAAATATGAAATCATTCTTTTCTCATAGTCTCAACCAAGCCAGGACGAAATATGATACAAAACACTTTTTTTTTTTAATTTTGAAAATTTTAATATATTTAAAATTCACCTTTCATCATTCAAAAAATCTCATGATTTAGGAAATTTGCATTTTCTAAATATTTAATTACACCATGAATCCCTTAACTATTAGTGAATATTACTTTATACCCTCAATTTTTTAAATGTATTACTTTTATCCTTTCAAACCTTTGCGACCACCTTAAAGAAGAATGTATTTGTACAATTTTTATAATTGAGGAGATCAATATGTACGAATGTAACCAAAGGTAACCAATTCATAGATGAAAGGGATAAAATGAAATTCACTAATAGTGAGGGGGGTTTAGTGAAGTTAACCCTAAAAATGAGATTAGCTAGTAGTTGAGGGGGCTGTTGGTGTAGTTAACCCTAGAAACAAAGACAAAGATGGAAAGTGGAAGGGAGTGGACAAACACACTACACTATCAAGATAGCAACACTGGTTATTCTTTGTGAGTAGATAGATATTATATATGGGTAAGTACAAGTTCTTATCTTGTCTAGAAAAGAGCCGCCCAACTTACATGCTGTATATTAATGATATATATTCTTTTTGGACTAAGTCTAGTAGAAAAATGTTATACATACGCAAAAATAAATGATAAAAAATATTAAAAATTAGCATATTATATAAGGGGGGATTATTAGGAAATCTTTTTTTAAGTATTTGTATTTCAATTAGTTCATAATATATTTTTGTATTTTAATAAGTTCTATTATTTGGAAAATCTTAGTTATCATATTTAAAATATTTTATGAACAATTTTACTCTTACAAATATTTTTTGAATGCTTAATAACTTGGTAATGTGAACATACATATTTTACAGTGGAGATATTCACATTGATGTGTAAATGTTCACATTGACAGTGCATATATTTACATCATGAAACATTCATACGGTCAATATGAATATTATTATTAGTGTTATTTTAATAATTATGTCACCATAAAATTTGTTGAAACATAAAAAAATAATTTGGAATTAGAGAAGAGCTTATGATGGTTAGTTTAGGGACATGTTTTGTTTAGCATACTTATGCTTGCATATTTGCATCCATGCATTTGTATCGCATGCACCGATGCGAAGCTTGGCAGGTATTATTGTTATTGTTGTATTCATCGAGAG